CTCCAGAATCCCAGAAGCTAAGCATACTTTTGAGCGTAACTGCAAAAGCTTCTGCTTCTGACTAATAACAATTTCATGAATATATCAAACTAATGCTTCTAACTAAGCAGTCTCAGAAGCTTACAACTTCTGACTAAATACCTCATAAGCTCAAATGCTTCTGAGTAACAACATGAAAAGCTTCTAACTCTAACAACAACTTCTGAATATGAAATACTTTTCAACACCATCCCTTAATTCATATTCAGCTAACCAAAAAACTACAACACCAATTCCATCCCTCAAATGGATAAGATGTTTAGTCTTGACATCCTTCGTTAAGACATCTGCAAGTTGCTTCCGGTTGCTATAGTGTGCAACTTCTAATACTCCATTTAGAAATGCAGATTTCTCATTGAAAATTCATCTGACGCTGATATTTTTCTTCTCCTTTGGAAGCTTAGTTAACTCCCAAGTCTTGTTTCTTTCAATAGCATCAAACTCTTCTTTTATGACCTTCAGTCACACTTTTTTCTTGAGAGCTTCACAGATTGATAACGCAGCCACCGACTGCTTCTTGGAGCACCAAGAAATGAGACTTTCCATATACAAGCAAAAATATCCAGAAGTATTTCTTTTGTCAAATTTGTCTCCATACAAATCAGATTTTGAATAGCATATCGGCTTTGCATCTAATCTAACACCAGAAGGGAACAACATTTCATACCTCAGAGTCCCTTCAGTATCTTGAAGCTTGTCAAAATCTGAAAATCTCCTTGGTATTTGTCTCATTCTTTGTGGCCTCTGAACTTGTTCAAAAACTCTTTCTGATTCTGGAACAGTATCAGATACTTGATCACCTTCAGAAGTTGGACCACCTTCAGAACCTCTACCTTCTAAAGTTCCACCTTCAGAATCACGACCTTCATCAGATGCTAGACTACCTTCAGAAGCTCTTCCTTTAGAAGGTCCACCTTTAAAGATATGATTTCTACCAAAAACATGACCATCTTCAGAAGCTTGTCCTCCAGAACCTACATCTTCAGAGTTTTCTCTTCTAGAAGCATGATCACCACCAGATTCTAGATCATCATCAAAATCTAGATCACAATCAGATTCACCATCTGACTCATCTTTAGAGTCTCCAGAAGATTCTTCATCTTCTGACTCTAGCTCTTCTTCAGAACTTTCAAGTTCTGACTCATCTTCAGAAGCAGAATCTCCTTCAGATTCCGACTCATCTTCTGATTCTTCTTCAGATTCAAAATCACCTTCTGACTTGTCTTCAGCTTTAGAGTCATCTTCTAACTCTGGCTTATCTTCAGAAACCTCAGATTCTGACTCATCTTTTGATTCTTCTTTAGATTCATCTTCCAATTCTGACTCATATTAAAATACTCCAAAGTCAGAATATTCAAAGTCATCTTCTCTCCCTTAAGAATCAAAAAATGAAAATCTCACAGGTTCCTCATCAGATTCATAAGCCATTAATAACACGAGTTCATAATCAGAATCTTCTCTGGCTATTTTTCCTTCTTCTTTGTTTGACCAATAATCTTTAGCAAAGTGGCCAAATCTATTACAACAGTAACATTGAACCATTCTCTTGTCATACTTCTCATTTCCAATTCTCTTGCGCCTCTAGACTACTTTGTAGCTCTTCTATTCTCATGGTGTCCAGATCTTTAGAATATTCAATTGCTACAACAATGTAATCAAATTGAGGAGTAAGCGACCTCAATATCTTCTCAATAATTACTTGTTCATAAAGGGTTTCTCCATAAGCTTTCATATCATTAGTGATCAGAATCACTCTAGAGATGTACTCAGAAACCTTCTCGTTTCCTTCATATTGAGATTCTCATACTATTTTCTAAGAGAATAAAGTTCCACCTTCTTCACTGATGTGTCACCATCGTAACACATACTCAGTGTGTCCCGCGCACCCTCGCCGCCATCGAATCATCAATTTTCTCAAACACGTTCTCATCCACATACTAATGGATGAAGACCAACACCTTCTGATCTTTCTTCCTTGTATCTCTCTGTGCATTTCTCTGTTCTTCCGTCGCATCTGCTGCAACTGAAACATAACCATTTGTAACAAGATCAAGAACATCCTGAGCACCAAACAACACACACATCTGAATCATTCAATGGTTCTAGTTTTTGCCATTAAACACTGGAAGCTTAATGCTTAGACTATCATTTTCGGTCATTTCCAACCTTGTACAGAACACTCAGATCTCACAAACATGGTGTTTCTTAATTTCACAGAATCAGAAAATTTGATTCTGTTCAAGATTCAACACGAATTCAAGAACCAAAATCAATCACACAACGCCTCACCGTTTTACTTGTGTTTCCTGTGGATTCTAACCGAAGCTCTAGACACCAATTGTTAGTGCACAAGGTTAATAAATGAAGAAAATCACTAGTGCAGAAATGACTTTTTACATCGGGTGAAACTGACTTTTTACATCGGTTCTGGGTCCGATGTAAAGTCAGGCGATATAGTAAATCAGGGACTTTTTACATCGGTTCTGGGACCGATGTAAAAAGTCTCTTTTTTACATCGGTTATAATATAAGAACCGATGTAATAAACTGTTATTATGCATATTTTTTAAAAAATTGATCCAGTTTTTTACATCGGTTGTAAGTAATACCCGATGTAAAAAGTCCCTTTTTTACATCGGTTATAATATATGAACCGATGTAAGAAACAGTTATTATGCACATTTTAAAAAAAAATTGATCCAGTTTTTTACATCGGTTGGAAGTAATACCCGATGTAAAAAGTCCCCAGTGACGCAACTTTTTACATCGGTTATTATCCCCAACCGATGTAAAAAGTCCCCTTTTGAAAGTTTTTACATCAGTTTTTACTAATAACCGATGTAAAATGTATGAAATTTTTTTGGAATAGATTATTTATTTTCTGGATGTTTCCCTGTACAAATATAATTTGTACCCATTTTTTCATATTTTTCCAATATCACACAGACTATATTTATGTCGCCATGTAGATTTCATAGCTTTCCAACATCACATATATCACATCTAGGTCGATGTTTTCATATTTTTCACAACAAACTTACAAATTGAACAATTGTATTGCAAACTTGTATTGTATTACAACAAACAAACTTACAATTACAAATTCTTCACAAAATATACAACAATATTCAACTATTTATAAGTCTTTTTTCAAAACTTACAATTACATATTATTCACAAAATATACAAAATATTCAACTATTTATAAGTTTTCAAACTTAAATTACCAATATAAAATCTTCGGTAGACATAAAATCCAATGAAGCTAACATACAATCCAACAACCTTGTTTGAATAGGCCCAACTTTGAAATGCATAACAGTTTATGTCCAAGTCACTCTTAACACAACATTTAATGCCTGCATTTTGATATCTCATAATGTTTTAATTAAAAGAAACAAGTATATTCTAAAAATAATTTAAACATTGAAACTAAAAAGAGGTAAATGGAAATTACCATAGACATGTAGTATATGCTTTTATTCTTCAAAACTAAATCATCTCTTAGCCATGCATTTCTTGAGTTAGGATTAAGAAATCCCTAATCTTTGACAAAATCCCAATACAGTTGATACATTGTAGCTGTCACAGATGTGATTATAACAATAAAAACATTATATTGTTATCTTGTCTTCCATATGTTACTCTAGCTCCTGCTGCAACCATTGCAGAGATATACTTCCCCATGTTCGCCAAATGCGCAACATCACTGTCATCATACCATCTTCTTACACACTAGTATTCACATTCAAATAGTAAAATTTAATTTAGTAATGTTAATAGAAAGTTTAGAAATATAGATTAGTACTAAACATTAAGGGCGTATTAATATACCTGAAGGGCACGCCAAAAATATGGCAAAAATGAGATAATGTAGGTTATTTCCATGTATAATCTTCCGGAACTACAGGTTTCAGGGTGGTGCGTTTTGAAAACCCGGGATAAAATGTGACAACTCGTTGTTTCCAAATGTCTTAGCAATGGTATCTGTATACGATGATATACAAAAAATGTTATTAAGAAGTGTAACGATAAACAAAGGAAAATAATAGGATAAATTCATTGAAGGATAAAAGATTTTACCTGACTAGTTAGTTGATCAGCCATAAAAAAATCCACCAGAAGAACCTGTAGGAATAGTAAATCGAATCAAACAATTAGAACTTTCATTTTGTACACATGAAGTATGTTATATCGTTATCAATTTATCTAATTGTTCGAAAAAAGATAGTATAAAGAAAATATACCTTATAAAAAGGAGAACAGATAATGTTACGAATAACGCGGATGAAGCAGAATCGAGTTGGACGATAGAAAATGTCTAATGGGCAAATGAGTATAGCTATGAAAAACTGAAAAAAAATACAGGTAGTTCATAAAGTGTTAGCTCAATGATAAAAGTTTGATATTATAATATGTAACATCAAACAACAAAGCTCAAATTTCATCAAAAAACTAACCAGAAGTAGAATTCCGGGAATGGCGTCAACATTGCCAGGAAAAAACCCCGCAGCCCTTAGAAGAAGGTGCAAGACCATCGCTCCAACCACAGCAGTCATGAAGACAGTACAAATCAGAAAAGCATCTCTATGCTTTAGCGCCGTGGTCGGCGAGAATTCAAATATGAAATTATGATTTATTCTTGTCGCTTTCCACATATATAAATTGCAACCGTACATAAACAAGTGTAGACTAAACAATGCAAATACACTGCATAATATAAAAATCATTGTAACCATTAAATTAAGAACCTCATAAAATTTATATTGTTTATATAAAATAAAATAAAATAAAATCCAATATATTTTTAAAATTCATTTTAAAAAGCATCCACAATGTGTTCTCTAATGTTTATTTTATCAGTGGAAATAGAAACATGAAACACATGTAGTTAACGAGCCCTCATCTTTTAGCTTCACACAGCCGGCCTGTGTTACCGGAAAAAAATGAAAAATTCATGTGTTACAACTGAAACTGAAAAGTATAGACATTCATCACCTGCTCTTTCGGAGGTAGAAGTCCAAAAGCCGCTCCCATTGCTAACTGAGAACTTGATTCCTGGACAACCATTTTGAAAATGCTAATTAGCAGAGAAGTGAGAATTGCTTGTTGGCATATAAACAAATCACCCTACAGTGAGAAAGGAGGATATTTGGCAAAGCATACCGGGTGATACTGAATCAGATTATTTATAATTGTCAAACGAATTGCTTCTAACAACTCTGGATCTTCGACTTTTCTGCCAGTATCACTGCAAAAAGCTCCACCAGCATATCCAAAGAATTACTAAAGAAGCTAGTTAAAACCTCATCCAAGATATTTGTTGCTTAAAACGAAAAAAAACTAAACCCAAGTTCCCAACAAGTTTTACTGTTCTAGAGTGAATTTCTAATACTGTTTAGGCAGGCTAATCTGAAGTCTGACTGCATATACTTGTGTGTGTTTTAACATGAATTTTGCTCATAAAGAAAATGCCTGTTTGGATTTACTTACTTGACTTGCCTACAAGCATAAGCACTTGAGAGACTGTTTATGAGGGTTTATGGAAACAGCTTATGAGATATTTTATGTTTTGAAAACTTCTAAAAACAATGTATAGCTTATATAAAAACACTGACTTTATTTTATTTGTTGGTATCGAAATAGCTTATGCACATGCACTTATATTATATGATAAGTGCTTATGCTATATGTGCTTTACTAAGATGTTTATCCAAACAAAGGCAAATTAGCATAGAAAGTAACTAATTTTTCATGAATTGATTGCTTTAGTTGTATATTGTAAGGATGGGCTATTAGGAGCAAAAGCACAAGGAAAGGCAAGTGTGGGCCAGTGGTGGAGTGAATTAAAGAAAGAAAATGTTTATGGGAGTTTCTGTCGGAACCAAATGATGGCCTAAACTAAAGAGTCACTCGGTTTAAAGTTTGAACAATGCTAAACGAGATGACCTATCATGACATGAACATTCCAACACATTAAACCTAACCATTCTCGTGTTATAGTTTAATCATCAATTAATTACCGTTGCTTTCTTGTTCCAATTTTACTAATGATTTGATATCATATGTTTTATTTATAATTAAGTGTTACATCCTTAATTATGTTCTCAATCTCATGTCTCCATTCATAATTGTTAATCATAAAAAGCAAAATAATCATTATTAACAGTCAATTAATAAACCAAAATCAATAAGTGGATTGAACAACTAACATATACTCGTAACAATAGCATACATAGTGCGAAAAACACGTAAGACTTACGCTTTTGTGATGAAAAACTTGTTGTGTTTGCCAGAAGAATCCAAAAAGACATTTGCCTTAACAACATTGAGACCTAAGCTTTTTAATGCACTCATCTGCAAACCAATGTTGAGAGTAAAGTTTTTTGTTCATAATGTACACTAGCAGATAAGCAGGCAGAGAAATATAATAAGAAAACATCACACCGTGTCAAGGAGAGCTCCAAGCCGATGACCAAAAGTTATCTTCACCACAGTTGCATTTGGATCAGAGTCTTGGTCAATTATAACTATCGGAGTCGGAACGGTATCAGTCACACCTTGATTAGCATCCTGTTGTCCACAGAAAAAATTGAACCGATGAATGAGCACAGTTCGGAAGCATTATAGAAATGAAGTACTGAATACCTGCAGATGAGTAACAGGTGGTGCTGCTCGAGGGATAATTGTAGTTCCAGAAGATAACAATCTGACAAGTTTTGTGAAGGCGGTGTGAGAAGAGAGGAAGGGAGGTCGTGCGAGAGGGACCGGAGGCTGAGGTTTGGCGCGATGGTGATGGTGAGCGGCGACTGAGGTTTGGTTTGAAACGGCGAAAAAACGAACGGAAACGGCGGTCGATGATGGTGGCTGGGAAACGGCGGTGGTTGGATCGTGAGCGTGAGCGTACAGTGGCAAGGAGTGAAACGGCGGTGGTTGGGTAGTGAGCGTGAGCGTAGAGTGGAAACGGCGGCCAAGGAGAATATTATACAGTGGAAATACTGAAATTTGTGAAATAAGGGTTTAACAAGCTATTACCTCGGTGGAATAGGATAACCGATGTAAGGGTTGGTTTAGTGGACAACCTATTACATCGGTGGAACCTTACAACCGATGTAAGGGTTTTGGCTTTTTTACATCGGTCCATTGTAATAACCGATGCAAGCTGATTTTCTGGCTTTTTTACATCGGTTTATACTTCAACCGATGTAATAAGTTGCGAAAAAAATATTTTATTCTTTAATTTATTTTTTATATTAATATCTGTTGTGAAGATATTACATCGGTTTTTAGTCAACCGATGTAATATATTGTATGTTTTTTTTAATATTTCTACTACCTTGTTTCTTATTTACAAAAATGCCACCGTATTTTTTTCTGAAAACTTTTTACATCGGTGGATGCGTTTGCCCGATGTAATAGGTAGCGAAATATATATTTTTTCATATTTTTTATATCATTGCAAATAAATACCTGATGTAAAAAGTTTGTTAGTTGTATTTTTTACATCATATATTTTGATACCCGATGTAAAAACCTTTTCTCAAATGTCTTTTTTTTAGTAGTGAATGTATGAAAAACTAATATTAAAGCTCTGCAATGACGACTATAAAGTTGTAAGGAAGAATAACTGAACAATAATTATTGTTACTGTTATAAATGACAACTACTACTAGTCTATTTATACACAAAGTAAATTGCCACATAGGCCATAATAAAAATAAACTTAATGGCTAAATTAAAAGGTACAAACTAGGAAATACTAAACTTAACGGCTACGCTAACAAACTCAATTCTAAAACCCCTGAAACTAAACACAGTTTTGGGCGTAACCGCAGAAGCTTCTGCTTCTGACTAATAACAACTTCATGAATATATCAAACTACTACTTTTAACTAAGCAGTCTCAGAAACTTACCGCTTCTGACTAACAACCTCGTAAATTTAATTGCTTATGAACAACACTACTTCTAAACAACAACATCAAAAACTTCAAACTCTAACAACCGCATTTGAATATGTAATACTTTCCAACATATTTCAACAAAGGCTTCACTAAAATGATATAGAACTTCCCCGTGATCTCCACCTCTACACTTGATCTTGGGGTTCATAATGATCATCAATATGAAAAGGTGAAGACATGTTTTCGCTTTCCGGAAGTTGTATATTTCTAGTAATTGAACTTCGGTAATTTGATTGAGAACCGGTTAAGAACAAGCATCTAGGTGAAGACGAAAGCCAAGCTTCTATATAAGGAAAATGATGGTAAGGTGGAAGGTATATGTTGTGTTGAACATAGGAAATATCATTCTTGCACTACTCTGACAATTTAAAGAAGTGTTTATTGTGTGACAAGGACAATGCTGCATGTTTAAAATTTGTGTCCATTTCTCCATCGTCGTCTCCGTAAACATGTTTTCCAAACTGGGATTTTCGATAAATCAATAAACCTGAATCATGTGGTTTATTGAGTAATAAAGATGAGGGGCTAAAGTGGAAGTCACCTAATGCGTTATTTGATATCTGCTCTTCACCATGGTCGAAAATTGATAATGCAGGGACCATATATGGTTTTGCATACTTACAACTGATAGGTAACTTTACTTCATCTTTTTCATAGTTAAAATGTTTTCCCATAAGAAGTGGTATTGGTTCTCTCTCAAGTTTCCCCAGCTCTTTGAAATGGTCCAATGAAAAGGTTTCATGCTTTTGCTCATAATATACAAGTCCACGAGTTACATCATTCTGTTCTGAACATTGGTCGAAACTTGTGAGGACAGATTGGAAATTCGATGCGAGGAGTAATCAACTCATTCTCTGAATTAAGGGATTTAATTTTGTCAATTTGGTGGAAATTAATTTTTATATATTGATAAATAGAAAAGAGGGAATAATATTGTTCCTTTCTAAAATTATGGTTCCTCTTACCAAAGGGGAAAAGGCAGGGGGCAGATGCTTTTCTTAGCCCCCATTTAATTAATTAAAATATATGATAGATCTGCAGCAGACTTTTTTTGTTCCTTTCTTCCCAGAACAACAATGGTTGCGAATTCCACTTCCGATAATGCCGCACTCTCAGGTTCCCACTTTTCTTCTTCTATTTCCGCCCTCCATTTCTTTTCTTTTACAAGTTTTTAATTTTGATGTATCAGGTGCCGCGAATAATGAGAAGCAGAATTGGGCCACATCCCCTTCCACCGTTTTCAATCACTTCGCCACAAGTGGACTCTCCGTCGCAATTGCAACATCAATTACTCATCCTCTAGGTTCCTTCTTCTCAATTTACTTCCATTTAATCAATTCATTTTGCATTTCGGGATACATTTTCAGATTCAATTCTATCGTTAAAGGTGGCATTTGGTAAAGGGGGAAGGAATATGGTAGTAAGTGATGGAATGGATTGAAATCCATACCACTCCATTCCGCTCCGTCTCATCCGTTTTTATATTATCCAAACAATGAAATATCATTTTATTCCATTCCGCGGACCATCTGATTCCATCAATCCAAACAAAGCCTTATACCTTTTAGGGATTTGAGAGATGACTATCGGAAGACTGTGTATAAGAGGTGAACTACCTTCATTGCTGTTTAGGCTTTGCTCTGTGTTACTCATCTAATGGGGTAATATTTAAATAACTAAACGACAATGAGGGTAGTTCACCTTTTATACTCACTCTTCCGGCGGTCATCTCTCAAATCCTAAAGATATGCCACTCTTATCATTCTTAACTATACGATCAAATAATAATATGCTATAATTTATATCTAAACAGTAAAATTAAATTCTTCAATAAACCCTCAATTGGGTCCTCTTAATATCAAAGTGTTGTCGTGTTAGTTCTTTAGTTTTGTCACCAAATTAGTCCTTTATGATACATAGTTGTCACCAAATTTATCTACATGGTGGCTGAAAGTGATGGCGAAAGAACAATGTAATGATGTATTGAGGATAGATTTCAGGTAGTTTTTTTATTCTTCCTGAGTAGTTACTTTGTAAGCAAAGGGCCAAATTACTTTTTTAGTTTCCAGTAGTTTCCCTCTAGTGGAGTTAATCCTATTCAAAGGCATTGTCGAACTGTAAATGTGGGCCAAATTGGAAATACTCATTTAACTAATGAAGTCAGCAACTATAGTAATGATGTTATCATTAAAACAAATCGAGCTCGTTAATATGCTCTGAAGTTTACATCGGGCCCTTTAATATGTTAAGTAACAAATTAAAATGAGTTTTGGAAAAACATAAAACAAATCTTTAAAAAATCTATATTTAACTTGTTTCTGCATGCCAAGCAGATGTATTGAAAGTGAGGCTACAAATGCAACTTGTTGGCCAGAAAGGTCCTTTGAGTGGAATGGTATTTCACTGACTTCAACCTTTTTCCTCTTCAGACCTTACCTATCACATTATAACACAAAACTTTTGTCAATTAAGCATTTTTTCAGGGACAATTGCTTTTAACTGCGGTGAAAAATGAAGGACCTAAGTCTTTGTATCTGGGTTTGACGCCTGCTTTAACAAGGTCAGTAGTTTATGGAGGACTACGGTTGGGTTTGTATGAACCCTCTAAGAATGCATGTGATCATGCCTTTGGCTCCTCCAATGTTTTAGTTAAAATTGCTTCGGGAATGTTTGCCGGTGCTTTTGCAACTGGACTGACAAATCCAATGGAAGTTCTCAAGGTCAGTTATAACTTATAATATCTCTTTCTAATACTGCGTATTTTTGGTTATGTGGTGAAGAAAATTGATTTTGACTGAAGTGATTATGTAAAATTGATTCTGGTTAAAATCAAAGTGATTTATGTTGGGGTAATTTAATGGTAAAAATCACGTTTAAAAGCTACAAATCTTAAATTCAAGTTTAGAAGAAACAAACATGTTAAAAACACTCCAAAATCAATTCTGCCTATCTAGAATTGCTTTTGGCCATTTCAAAATGAAAACCAAACGTACACTTAAAAGTAATTTTTCTTCCGTTTACTCCTTCAAAACCATATTCCCACAATCAGGTACGTTTGCAAATGAGTTCAGACATGGGAAAGCGTGGCCCAATTTTGGAGCTTCAAAGGACTGTATCTGAAGAGGGAATCAAAGCTCTGTGGAAGGGGGTGGGTCCTGCCATGGCCAGAGCCGCTGCCTTGACTGCATCTCAGTTGGCTACCTATGATGAAACCAAGCAGGTGATTTTTTCACATGTACCTTCTCTGCTTAATTTAGTTTAAATTCTATCATTGCTTTTCTAATAATTTGTTTTGCTTCTTATTTATGCAGATTCTAGTCAAGTGGACATCTCTCAGAGAAGGGTTTCATCTGCATCTAATGTATGGCTCTTCCATCAATTTCATTTCTCCACATCTTTCTTAATGCAGACTGAACCAAAGTAATTAAGTATCATTAGAGCATGAGGATCAACCAAAATCACGGGCTTCGCCTTTATAATAGTAATTGGTAATGAAGATTGAAGAATCATGAAAAAAGAAATTTGCATTACTAATGCTGGTTTTATAATTTTATTTTATTTTTTGCAAAAAATATATTGAAATCGAATTACGTATTTCATACAAAACTAGTTTTGTTCATCTAATTATTTGAAATGATGATGTTCCACATTGACAAGCCTTAGGTCTATTAATTAAATAGTTACTTTGAAATTAGTTGGGACTGAGAGTTTAACGGTTGGTAATGTTATAAAAAACAATGCAAAGGGATGAGGGAAATTGAGGCCTTGGGACAGGGAGGTCCATGCAGCCTTGAAGATTTTGCATGTTCTTTTCTGTAGTCGGGGAAATTCTTCCTTGTATTTTTTAATTTCTAATAAAATATGAGGCTTAGTGTAACAGTTGGAGTTGTTGCCACGTGACTAGAAGGTATCGGATTCGTGTCATGACATTACCTTCTTGCAAATGCAATATTAGTCAACCAGCATGCGATAAATTCTCAATGGATCAGACCCTTCTTTGGTGTCTGCGTGATGAAAGCTTTACATCATCACAATGCGTTTTTTCTTTCTTTCTATCAGCATTTCAGACAACTCTGAGTTCAATAGAATTTATTATTATTTTGAAATCAAAATCATTCTCCATTATCTAATCATATCATGTACCTAATACAGCTCAAGCACAGTTGCAGGAATACTGAGCACCCTAATAACTGCACCAGTGGATATGGTTAAAACACGTCTCATGTTGCAACGACAATCCAAGGGTGGTATAATGTATAAAAATGGATTTAACTGTGCATACCAGGTATTAATATTGTTTTCTCATCTCCCAAACCTGCAGTACTTTGTTCTGTACCAAGCTTTGCATATAAGTTCTATACTACTTTCATGCATTCTTTGAGTCTGGCTTGGCTTTCATAGTTCTCAATTATTATTAGCTTATAATGATAATGAAATGACTGCCATATAAACCAATCATGAAAAATTGCTATATTTTGACATTCACTTTTGTTATTAACTGCATTTGTTATGTGTGGTTTCAGGTCCTGCTTACGGAGGGTCCAAGGGCGCTATACAAAGGGTGAGTGAGTTTTATGTTTGGTATGCATTTTTGTATGGAGCTTGTTTGATTTTTAACCTAAACTTCAATACAGATTAACATCTAAGATTTTTTCAAGACCTCTTGAAAACTATCAATGTGACTTATAAGATTTAAAATGTTAATGTGATACCTTTTGTCAGGGGCTTCACAATATTTGCAAGATTAGGACCACAGACCACAATTACATTTATATTATGTGAGGAGCTGAGGAAACATGCTGGGTTGGATGCAATTTAGTGACCATGCTGACTTTGTTGATTCTTGAAGTGCTGAATAACTACTCCTTTTGCAATCAAGCCCCAGTTGGGGAATTCTTTAAGATAGTTAACTACATTCTATAGTGGCTATTTGAGGTTTATTTCCCAGAGAACCGGATCATATTTTTGACTCACAATTAAGCAGACCCTTTTTAGAGAGATTCATCTACTCGAGCAAGTGATTATTGTTGTACTCCCTCACATAATACCACCATTGTATTAGTATAAAACAAAAGATGTTGATTCTTTTTGTACTATTGTCTTTATCATTATCACTTGTGATACGGTGGCAGAACCGACTGTTATATACTGGTTTTTGCGTTTTGTGTTCGTAAATGTTGCAGTAAGCAAGAGTCGCCACCGACTTTTCTTTTATCCAAATTAAGAAAAGGGTGAAAAGAACAGAAAAAGATCTTTTCGAGAGTTTTCTGAGTAAGGGGTAAATTATGGAAATGGAAGGTGTTAGCACCCTTTCCATCCGTAGTTATCTACGGGCTCTTAGAGGTTTGCTCATTTTGAAATACTTTTGTGCTTTGTGTGTTTGAAAATGTTTGGAAAATGCCCTAGTGCGGCGATTTGCTTTGCGTTTAACTCTTGTATCAGTCCTCAAGAGTGTTAACAAAGCAAATGTTTTGAAAATTGCTTTTGAAAAGTAGTATTTATGCAAGTGCAAAATGTTTTTGAGCAAATTTCTAACAGCTATCTACTTTTATACTCGAGAATGGTAGTTCTTTTCCTCATATCCTTTAGACAGTGTTATCCTACTATTAGTGAGTAGGTAGCCCTATCGTTGGATGTATAAGGAACATCGAATGGTCGTTACAGTCACAAAGGCAACTTATGGAGACACTTTAGCAATTTTGTTTAGGGACTAGATCATTTACCGAGAAGGCAAATGTAGGGTCATCGAGAGACTATGATCTTTTGATTTACGAGACTTTACTAAAGCGTCCCTGTTTCGAGGGACATGACTGTTTTATTTTCGAAGGCAACTAAAGTAGGGTACCCTAGAGGTATGTATGTGCAATGTGTGTTCAATTCAGTTATTTATCTTGCATCATTAGGTTTGCTAACGCTTTGTTTTTCAGTCTTGTCATACATGCCTAGTTACTAACAGTAAATATGTACAGAATATAAAGTGTAAAATGTGGGAATGTAAATCCTACGTTATTACATGGCTTTGGGGAGCGGGTATTTACAATATACAAAACTGGGGGATAAGATAAAGAAAGTGATAAAAAGTCCTACTTAGTCAATTACATACCAGTATACAGTTACATTATTATAAAAAATGCGAGAACAAAATAATGCGCGCGAAACGAATATCACGTCTAAAAGAAACCTAAGGAATCGCTAAGTAAAAATCTTTGGTTGTTTTTATTTTTTATTTAAGAAAACAATCAAAATTGCCCTAAAACCTATTTAGAAAATAAAGTTAATTTTAAGAAAATAGTCTAAGTTTTTTTTTTTTTTGGTTATAAAAAGAAAATAATTTAAACATATAAATTAAACCTAATTCTATTTTTATTTTAAATTAAGAAAAGGTTAAAGTTTAATTAATTAATCAATTAAAGAAATTAATTACTTAATTAAGGAAAAATTAGTTCTAATTTTTTTTGTTTGTGATTTTTTAGTATTTGATTAATGATAAACAAAGTAAAAAATAAATAAATAATAAAACAAAAGTAAAGAAAAATTAAATGGGCCAAGATAGCAAAATTAAATGGGGGGTGTTGATTTGAAAAACGCTAAGCCCAAGGTGAGGGAACCCAAAGGCTGTATTGGGATCAAGTGAAGAGAAGTCTTGAGGGTGCATGGTGAATCTCATGTTGAAGCTCTTGGATCTGACTGCATTAACATTGAAAGATGTAGATCTGATGCTACATGGTGCGCGTGCATAGCATGACTGTACTAAATTTGCAAAGAAAGAATGGAAAAATAATATGTAAGAGGCAGGGTTCGAACCCCTGCCCTTACACATAACAAAGCTTTAAACGCGCTGCCTCTACCGTTGGGACGGTGATATTTCCGTTAGTATAAGCACAAAGAAATGTATATAATGTAAAACAAATAAACATGCTGATTTGACAAACACACGCGCTCTAGTGGGATCCCTCTATTTTGAATGGGCTAATCAAAATATAACGTTTTGACACGCAGGCTCTAGGGAGGTCAAACCATGGTCCTAGCTTGAGCTAAAACCATCTCCATCCTTGAAAACGAAAACTTCCCTGTTTCGACCCCATAACAATGGTGATCTATGGTTATGGCATTGTTGCCACATGAAACACGTTAGAAAATTCGCAAACAATGATAACAATATGAATGTGCAAGAAAAACAAATTTATGTTATAAGTTAAGCAAGTTTGAGATCCAAGAATTTTACCAGAATATGAGGATCGGTTGAGGGAAATTATGCGTGAGTTGGACTTGTTTAAGGCCTGGGAATCACTCCTGGGATGTTGATAGAGTGCTTGGAAAGATCTGAATCTGGCTTGGATCAGAGGTTTCGATTTGGACAACTTTAAGATTTTTTTTGCAATTTGATAATATCTCTCTAGGCTTTGTAGGTGTGTAAGCCTGTATTTAGCTTGCAAGCATGCTGCTTATATAGAGTAGAAGGGAGGGGACAAGAAGGAAATGGTTTAAACAACCTTGATTATGTGTTTGAAATCCATGAACGAAAATTTGTAACGTTGGCCAAAAACATAGAATCTTGTCTTTTTTTTTTAAATTTGAATGTATGTGAACATTTTGGCCTTCAAATGCCTCCAATTTCTGCCCTTCGATTGGACTTCTTGTATAGCCTTCAAATGGATCCTTTGAACGAATCATTTGTGTACCTTTCGATTGGCTCATATTCTCATCACTGGGGCTTCTTCGTTTGAACCCCTATTCAGCTAGCCCAAACGAAAACTCTTTCCTGGCTAATGAATGTGCTTGTCCACGTTGGCTTGAAACTGGCAGTATGTTGGCTTTTGGGCCAACATGCCTCTTTGAAAATTTTTCTTTCGTTTTGACTAGCAATATCCTTCATTTTGAACCAATGTGTGTGCTCTTTTGAAGGGAACCCATGCATCACTTGTATACATCACTTGCCATTCTTTCGAATGGGCCAACAAAGTAAGTCCTTTGAATGGAACACCCACGTATGCCCCTTTAAATCCATCAATACATGTCTTTCGAATGGGGCAAATATATGTCCTTCAAATGGACCATGTGTCTGTCCTTCGAATGAGCCAGTACTAAGTGTCAAAATGTGGAAAACTGTGTGTTGAATATTTTGGAGGTGGAGTCAAGGCTAGCATGAGGGAAGCCAACTGCTTAATGAATCAAAGCACATATGAAATAAAACCACTACTTTATGGACGTTGGCATGAAGGGAAACAATTGTCTTGCGCATTGGAGGCAAGCCGAAAGGAAGTCATTTTCTTGTGGGTCGAAAGAAAATACAGAGGCAAGTTGAAGGGGCCTTGGCCTTGTGGGTCGAAAGCAAGTCTGAGATATTTTGCCTTGTGAATTGAAGTCTGAGGCCTTTGCCTTATTAGAATTTTTTTAGAGGATGACTAATTAGGTGTTTCTTTTTCTAAGTTGATTTAGGTGTAGTTTCTTTTCCTCGAACTTCGACCATCTTTTTTATAAATAAAAAAAAAATTAAACTATTTTAAAGAGACTTCAATAATTATACTTAATATTATATGTATTTAATTATAAAAAAGAAGTATATTTTAAAAAATTAAATGAGAATAAATAAAATGAAGTCTTCGCCACACAAACAAATTAATTAATTTTAAATCTAATTTTGAACTTTCTTTTAAAAAAGTTGAAAAAATTACTATAATTATTTTTTAAAGTTAGCATAATAAAGAAGGAACCTCAAATCTTACAATTCAAGACAAGTGAAGTTTTAAAGAGTTTCTATGATCTAGTCAAATTTTATTTTTTCTTGTGATTTATTTATTTAAATATAGTTTATGTTATTTTAATATTTTTAATAATTAAACTTTTTTTTACCGACTTTATGAATTACACTATTTAACCACAATAAAGAAGAGGGTTCAAACAAAATTATACTATTATTTTATGTATTTAACTACAATATAGAAGAATATTCAAAAATAAAACCACAATGAAGAAGTGTATTTAAAAAAATTAAATTAGAGTATATGATTTTAAGAATTGTCTTCAACTTATTTTCCGCATCTTTGTTAAAGCTATTCTTGTGTTGCTTCGTCTACACACATTTCTCATACACTTTATTTGAAATGTCGATTTCTGGAAATCTTGAAATCATTCTTCTTTTCAAATTTTTGATGTCTTTGAAGTTGAGATGACCAAGTCGATAGTGTCATATTCACTCATCTCTACTAGCTGCAGTCGTAAGACACTTGTGCTTTATCACATTAAGTTTAATTTTGAAGGTTCTATTCGGAGACATAGGAGCCTTTAAGATTAACCTTCCTCTTGCATCACCGACTCTCATCATCTTGTCTTTGATTCTATAATTCTTTTTGACCAACTGCACTATACTGAACAAATTGCTCTTCATGTCTGGTATGTACAACACATTGGAAATTACTGACCTCTTGCCATCTTTTCTCATAATCAGAACATCCCCAATACATTCAGTTGCGAGAGTATTGTTATTTGCGAATTTCACCATGCTCTTCATTGAGGTTTTTATGTTGACAAACCAATCTTTCCTCCCATACACGTGTGATGAGCATCCTGAATCCAAGTATCATTGGTCTTTGAATCTCTCTTCATCTCTTGTTGTGACCATCAACATCATATGTTCTTTTTCATGTTTTGCAAACATCGCATCACTTTCTTTAGTTTTTCTAGACAATAACTAGAATAGTGACCATACTTATGACAATTAAAATATAATGTGGCTTTTGTCAGGTTTTCGACTACCGCCTATTCCTCAGCCTCCAGCACCACCTCTTTGATTGTCTTGGTATGAGGTCTTCTCTAATTCAACATAATTCCTTCATGATGGTCTCCTTCACCAGTCGAATTGTTGTAGTCTCCTCTACCTTTGTTGTCGAACCATTTTCCTTTGCCTTTCTTTTCTCTTGCTGATCGCGCCTGCAAAGCCACATTACTCTTCGACTTGCATACAGCTCTTTCAGCCATTCTTTATTCATGAGATTCAAGCGTCTCTTGAAGCTCTTCTTTTGTAAATTTCGACAAATCTTTTGACTCTTCTATGGCCACCACCACGTGGTCGAACTTCGGAGCCAAAGATCTTAAGATCTTTGCGACAATTAATCTCGACGTCAATGCTGCTCCACATACTTTAATTTGATTCACCAGTTTCATAATCCTAGTGAAAAAATCAGTTATGCTTTCACTTTCTTCCATCTGAAGCAATTCATACATTCTTTTGTGAGTTTGTAACCTCACCTCTTTCACCTTTTCAGCACCTCTAAAATGTTTTTCTAGAATTTCCCAAGCTTCTTTCGCAAATTCTATATCACTAACCTTTTTGAAATTATCTGTACTCATACATTGATGAGTTATAAAGAGAGCTTTATAATTCTTCTTCTTCAATTCTTTGTGTGCAACCTCTTCTTCTTCTGTTGTGTATTCTTCAACTGGTTATAACCCTTCTTTTACAAGATCCCAAAGATCTTAAAAATAGAACGCAACTTTCATCCGCTTGTACCAGTTCTCATAGTTATCAACTTTCATAATTGGAAGACTTGCTGGAAAATGCCCATTCGGATTATTCATTGCCATCGCGATTTTCTTCCCTTGAATCGCTCAACCGAAGCTCTTAATATCAGATGTTGGAAATCCACCAAAACTGATAATTTCAATCAATCTTGATGAACAAGTTTGTTATCACTACACAATGACAATAAAAAGAATGAAATATAGAGAAAGAAAGAAGATTTTTTTTCCTGCAGAGTAACTGAAGGAAAATTGCGATCCAAAATGCAACGGAACATTAAAATTTTCCTTTAGTGATCCTTACGAATGGGCATGGTCAGTGATAAAAATCATTACCTCTTGTGGTGATTCAGACCTTTGATGTTGTGATCACGAACGTTGACAAATAGCAACGTCTCTACTCAGTCCACACGAACAGATCACTTTCGGTCATAGTGCTAGCTGCTTATGAACGGAAACTTTGAGTGAGAGAGTAAGACAAAATACAACTAGGGTTTCAAGACCGAAATTTCATCTAGTGAAATGCTTCAGCATACGGGTTCTATTCATGGAACCACTTATGTGGGTTGCAAGCTAAAAGCCCAATTAAGGCTGCAAGCTAAAAGCCCAATTAAGCCTATGGGTATCATATCTTATGATATACCACATATCACTTAAGCGCTTGGTACCTTACCACATTCCATATTTCACTTAAGTGTATCGTACCTTATAGTGTTCTACAATTCACTTAAGTGCACCATAACTTACGATGTTCCTTATTTACTCTATCTCTCATCAACCTGTCCTTATGTGTGTGACCATGTAGGTTTTCGTAACACTGACAATTATATTAAATCACACATTTAATATAATAAAGAGTTGACGGTATCTAGCAACACATCACTGCTACCCAAGTCACAAAAATTTCATGTGATATGACAAAACCTTTCCGTAATAATATGTGTATGTATAATTACGCTTTTGCCCTTATGTATATATTGAACACAAGGAATAAGTCGTGTCACTCTTGTCCAGTTCAATATTAGGCTCTTAGACATTTATCCTGTTATGCAGGATGGGAAAATTCCATCTAGGTCACGCATGTCTCTCAGCATGCTTTGTGAAGTACTCATCAACTGTCTTTATGGTCATCCAGTTACGAATAATGTTTGATCAACAATAAAGTACTTAACTCTATATCTAGGGTTCATAGTGGTTTTAGGTCGAAAGGTGGTATACACCATTATAACCATGAGAATAACTTATGACACCTTGCATAATATTCTATGTAGTATTCTCATAGCGGGTCAATCGAGTATAAATATTACTCCTAATATTCTTACCTATGTCAAGACTTGATAACTCCTTATCCATGATCCATGAGGTGTGATCATCAGTCTATATTCATAATAATCTCAATGCTTTAATGTTATCCCACTTTGCAATAAAGCTCGACTACAGATACTTTAAGAATAATGTAATGCTTAATGGGATCTCATGATTAAGTCAAATGTAACATTTCATTAAACATATGAACTATTCTAGGGACTTTATTATTTTGGAAAAGCAAACATAATAAAGAAATGCCTTTTATTATTAACAAATAATTCAATACAAGTACCAAAAGTATTGGCCTATAGGGCTTACACCAACAGTAACTCTCTGCCCATAAACTGTGGAAAATCTTATTCACTTGCAACTGCAAATTCTGTGAATACAAGTTGTTATGAGTGTATATAAAAATAGGGGTTACTCCCTCTATTTATAACTGAGCTTGCTTACTCCTTAAGCCAAATCCCAAAATAGAAAAAGCCCAAAATAACTATTTTTGACCTAAGTCAAAATTCTGTGTGAAGCTAAATGCTTCGACACTTTGACACACACAACTATACACACTTTGACACAAACTAAGTCGACACACCCTTGTCGAGCAGCATGTTGCTTCTACACAAAGGAATTACATTATTAACAATAGGTGATGGATAAGGAAATGATAACTGTGTGACAAATCATTATTTATATAGAGATTTGTTGGATATTTCATGTCATTTATTATTTATTTTTAAAATTTAAAATTCAAATAAGTGTCATCATTAGATGAGATTAATAAGAGAAAATAATTTTCTATCAAACCTTGTTAGTTTCTATTATCTATATATAAAAATCTAAGTATCTGGAAATCCAAATATTACCCCTCTAATCCAATTATCTATATATAAAAATCTAAGTATCTGGAAATCCAAATATTACCCCTCTAATCCAATTTAACATTTAATCTAAATATAAGGGCATATCAGACTTTTATCACCACCACTCTCACCATATTGTTTTAGCATTTATTAGATCGGATGTGTAATCATATTACAATTTGTTACAATTTTTCTTTTTTTTATTCCACTAACAAAGTAACTAATGCAAAATTTGAATTCTCTAAACCTAATCAGCAAGAATTAAATACACGTACATGCATATACGTAGAATATGAAGAGTCTCTTTTCAAATAATCACCATATCCAACTTCCAATAAACCCTTTAGTGTTTCGAGTTACCAATTTTTCTATTACATAAACCCAATTTTCATTTCTTCCAATTTATCAGTAGTGCTCTGATTTGAATATGATGGAAAAATAATAGAGGAAACATAGAAGTCTTAGGAGAGTCTTTGCTCTACGATTTCAACCTCCAACCATCTTCTTCAATTCGCTAATGACCACCGTCTGTCTCTCAATCAACCACCATCTCCTTTCAAGCTTCGGCCACCACAAAATTCTCCGTCTCTTTCACCGCCATAATAATCCATCCAGATCTGGCCACCACCGTTGTGGAACACAAATCATCAACACAAATCCGATGAACCATCAACCTTTACTCTGGAGTCTACTATGATTTTACTCTATGAACTCTCCCCAAGTACATAAATTTTGTTCATGAAATGCATAAGTTAGGGATTTATAGTTGGTTGCATTAAATTAAGGATTTTGGAGTTAGATAAGTTGATTTAGCAGTTAAGGTTTATTTTGATGTTACGTCCTGAATTTAATTAGAGTTTTGTTGTTGATTTTGTTTTCAAAAGCATGGAACAACGCTGCTGCTTTGAGCACAACACTTTTCAACAACGGTTCAAAACTTGAGTCGGGCGGTGCACAATAGTGAAGATTATGAAGTTGATGTCGATGGCGAAGGAGATGGCAGGGACTATGAAGGAGATTCCTAGAACATGTGTTTCTGTTGTGTGTACTGTTGATGGGAAGGATCCGAAGGATTTGTAGCATGAGATCAATGATGGTGATGTTGAAATCCATCATGATTGATTTTTTGTAACTCTGTTATATTTTGATCAAGCCATATGTTTTGCTAAATAACCAGAAAATATAACTCTGAGGGTGAAGCTATTAAAGTTTATTAAACTGAAGCTAAAGTTTATTAAAGTGAAGCCATATTTTTCATTAACTTTGTTATCTTTTGATCACGCATGCAAATTTATTAAAGTGAAGTTATGGTTTATGTTGAGTTCAGTCAGTAGTGAGGTTATGAGATAGTTAGGAATTAATTATGTTATTTAACAGTTGAGTTTAAGGTTTGGTTAGTAGGTTAGAGGTTTAGGATAAATTCTGTTAGTAATTCTGTCAGTGTAAGGGGTTTGTGGCTGGGGTTTGGAAATTGAGAGTTAGAGCTGAAGTCAAGGCGAGTTTAAATGTTGTGTTGAGTATTGTTCCACATGGCCATGGCATTGCATGCTAAAATCCATATAAGTTTTTTTTATTGTTCTAATTTTGTGTTTAAACTGAACTTGACTTGGTCCTGATGATTGTAAGCTGTGATGCATTGCATTGGAAATCCTATTGTGTATGATATGTTTGTGTTTCCTAATTTGTATCACCCTGTATAATTCATGTTTGAAAGCTTGGCTGAATGTATATAATGTAAGAGGAATGCTTGACTGCTAAGCTTGGATATGAACTGGATGGGATTACATTTGTCTTGAAATGAACTTGGACATTTGTGTTGTTACATGATGCTTTTAAATTTGGATAATTTATTCTACTGCCTCATACCATGTTTCAATCAAAAGAGGCATACTTCAGAAGTATTGGTTATCGAGAAGAAGATGAAAAAATGGAGAGTACAGATCTAAATAGTCTCAAGATTTTGACAAATTTACATGGATAATATTTGCAATTATCATTGATAACATTTTCTCATCTCCTTGATTGACCTCCTGACCATGTTGGTTTTGGCAGACTGAAATTCCAAACATTCAATATTTGCACGACTTGCAAGAAGGTTGGGCATGGCTTGCAAGGTTCTTTAATTCTCTGCCATCTAATCCATATACAACTATCTCACTCTATGCATTCTTATAAGTAAGTAATGCAAAATGTTTGGTGTTTTGATATACGAATCTTCTAAGATTAACTAATTTTACTCTGTCTGCATGTGGCTGAATATGCTATATTTAGAAAATATAAGTCTCAGTTCTTAAAGATGTTGAACATCGTCTCAAACAACTTTTTAGTTGATATGAAATCACATAATATACATGAATCGACGAAGATTGTTGCAAATATACAGGTTTATATAGAAGATAAAATGTTCCTTCAAGTGCCAGAAGGAAATAACATGCCCTCAGTGGGTTTGTAGTTTTGTCAAATTTCTATTTTTTCCCCACTTATGTATGAGTATTGATGAGTTGAAATTATAAACTAATGAATGTAATGGAAAGATGGAAAGAACGAGGGCATAGATTAGAAAATTTCTATTTCTCTCTGTTATTTAGTTAAGATTGTTGCATTTTATTTAGGCATAATAAAATTTGAGAGCTAAGTTTGTTTTAATTTTGTCAAATATTTTCACAAACATGAGCAAAGACATATTTAAAATATACTAAAAATGTATAATACATATTAAAAAGAAAATAACGAATGTCAACAAGCTCTGCAACCAAAACTAAAGTGTCCACTGAAACAATCCAGAGAGTTTTACCTAGCTAGATTATTAAGATATTAATTTGCTTTTAAAAAAACTATGATTTTAAAGAAACTATGATTTTAAAGAAACTATGATTGTTTTTGTTCTGGACTGGGCCCGACAGGCCCAAAAGCATTACTAAGGCCCAATCCAAAGGGACTTACTGAGGTCCACGCCGAGCAAAGGGGTCATGTCCGTGCCCGACATCTTGATGTCCAGCTCGACATCCCACTGTTCAACTCCAAGTGATGATGTCCAGCTCCACCTCTTGACGTCCAGCTCGACATCCTGACGTCCAGTTCGACGTGATGATGTCCAGCTCCACCTCTTGGCGTCCAGCTCGACATCCTGACGTCCAGCTCGACGCTCTGCCGTCCAGCTCGACGCCCTACTGTCCAGCTCGACGTTGTCTCGTGCATCCCGACCAGTGCAGACTCAGTCCAACGTTCCCTCAACGATACTCCGGAAAGACCGCGTCTTCGTCCGCCCGCACTTCACGCAGCACATCCAGGAAGGGGACCACGTGCGGGTCCCCACTACCCACGTAGAACCTGGCAGTTCCTCCATTGGGCCAAATCCGCCTGGCCCAATGAAGGGACCTTGGCCCAGCGCTGGGGGCTATAAATACCCTCTGTTTCCAGAGGGTCAGGTATTCATCATTCTAACCTCAACTCTATTATCTGCTCGTACTCCCACTTACTTCAGCATCGGAGTGTCTTGCAGGTACCCCCCCCCCCCCCACCTCGTTCAAAAAAGTTTTCTGCTCGGAGCCAGCCGTGACGGTCCAAACCTTCTGATCAGGTCAGATCAGTGGCGCCGTCTGTGGGAAACAGCTTCCCCGTCTAACGAACAATTCCAAAGACCAAAGCTCAATTCAATTACCTGTCATGGCTGACCCAGCTCGTGAAGAGCAGCACGTCCGCGTCACCGACACTAACAACGGTCCCGCGGACAAGAATGGACACCTCGACAATCTCGGTGATCCCGGCCACAATGCCACCCCTGTGACAACCGCCCCTGGACCTTCCTCCCGCAGGGACGGGAACACTGCGTCATCCTCGACGACCCCTCCAGCACTCGAAGACGACCCGGAAGCTCTCGCCTATCGCAGAGCTGCCCGGTTCTATGAAGTCCCAGTTCCTGCCGGGGCAGATGCCACGACTCAGGCACTGTTTGCGGCCATCAACCAGACAAATTATCTCATATTCGCCCAAGGAGAAAGACTAAGGGCGCTAGAAAATGATCGACGACCCCCGAGGAGGCATCAGAGGCCACCTACTCCACCTCCTCGGGTTGAAGAAGTTCGACACCCTACTCCCCCGCGGAGACACAACAGGGAGAACTCTAGGAGCCCCTCTCCCCGACCGAAGCAGAGGCGGCCCCAATATGAGAGACAGCCCGTCATCCCTACCGAAGAGCCCAGTCGCGACCCCTCAAGGCACGACAGGAGGCACGCATGGGGCGGGCGGGTGACCTTCAACCACCGAGCATCACGCTCGAGGGAATCTCAGCACGACCATCATGCCAGACATGTCTACAGGACCCCTTCTCTTTCTCCGGAGAGGAGCGACGAGGACGACCCCTGCGGTCCCCTGTCGCAGGCCATCATGGATGCACCTATCCCCCCGGGCATGGAGAAGCCCCCGCACCTGAAGGAGTATGATGGAGTAGCGGACCCAGTCGACCACATTGACGGGTTCGAAGCCATGCTCCACTATCATAATGTCGGGGGGCCCATCAAGTGCCGTCTCTTCCCCACAACTCTCAAGAAGGCGACCATGGACTGGTATAAAGGACTCGCCCCGGGCTCCATTACCTCGTGGCGGAACCTGAAGAACCAGTTCATCAGTTCCTTCACGGCTTCTCGGCGCCACCCGAAGACCGAGGCGGCCCTCGAGGCCATCATCCAAAGACAGGATGAAACCTTGAGGGAATTCATCAACCGCTTCAACCAGGAAGCAATACAGGTCCCCTGCGCGGACCATATGAAAAGATATTTGCTGAAGAGGGCCCTCCTCCCCGGCACAGAATTCAGAAAAGCTGTGGGTATTGAGCCACCTGCAACTTTTGATGCTCTCCTCGACAAAGCCCGAGCATACATGGACTACGAGGAGAGAGAAGCTGCCAACAGGGCACGAGACTCCAGGGCTCGCAATCATAGCAGCAGCTCGAGACAAGACCCTCCTCCCCGACGTACCGGAGAGAAGAGGAAGGAAGATCGACCCCGGGAGGTCCGGGAACAAAGGGGCCCCTCGGGCCGTTTCACCGAGTACACTCCGCTCACGGCTTCCCGCGAGCGTATTTTGGCGGAGTGTGCTAGCACCGATTTTAAAGACGGTGGCGTCAAGCGTCCGCGGCCAGCTCCTGCCAAGCCAGGGGTATACAAAAATAAATACTGTCAATACCATAGGAGTCATGGTCATTTGACAGAGGACTGCGTCCACCTCAAGGACGCCATCGAAACCCTCATCAAAGGAGGGAGGCTCGCACAGTACAGGCGAAACGATGCTCCCCGTCGTGACGCCCATGAAGCTAAGGAGCCCGAAGAAGATGCCCGACCATCTGACGAGTCGGTGCCAATCCAGACCGCCTTCTCGGTAACCAGGCCCGAGGATTTCGAAATTCCCGAGCTCCTGCAGGAGCCCCTGACGACACACAGCAGGTGGGAATACTTCCCCTCCGCCATGGTCATCAACGGGGGCGGGTTCAACGACCTCACCATCAATTCAGCCAAGAGGAAGTTGGACGAACTGGTCGACGCAGCTCCTCCACAAACTGTGACTTTCGAAAGAGTGAAGGGCAGATCAGAGCCCATCACCTTCTACTTAGAAGAGCTCCCCGGCGGAGCCCCGAACGCAGTCATCCCCTTGCTGATAAGGGCAAAGATGGCCAATTTTGACGTGCATCGCATCCTGGTCGACGAAGGGAGTTCCGTCGACGTGATGTACAGCCAGCTGTTCCGGACCTTGCAACTGGACGACTCACACCTCTCTCCGTATGTGGGTTCAGACCTTCAAGGCTTCAACGGCTCGACTTCCAAACCTTGGGGTTATGTCGAGCTCCTCGTGACGTTCGGGGAAGGAACAGCTACAAGACAGGTGAAGGTCCGCTTCCTCGTCATTGATTGCCCGTCCCTATACAATTGCATCTTGGGAAGGCCGACATTGGCGGAGCTGATAGCGGTGCCCTCAACTGTCCATCTAAAAATGAAGTTCTATACCAAAAGGGCAAGGGTAGCCACCATCCAGGGAGACCTCGCCGCTGCCCGCAGGTGCTTCAACGCCGCTTCAAGGGGACGGGATACCGTCGACGTGGGTACCAGCACCAGACCCATCAA